TGCTGAAGCTGACATGCTGTTCCTGGAAAATGCAAAGAAACTCTCCATGTACGGAGTCGACTTGCATCGTGCCAAGGTAAAAGAGTGTGTGTGTGTGTGTGTGTGTGTCTGCTGTACTAACACTTTTCTCATCAACCTGCTGCAGTGCTGCTCGTCCTGACATTACAACAGTTAATAATCACAATCAATTAAGACAATTGTTTTCTAATACAAGTTTTCTGAAATGTCTAAATAGGCAAATTAGACATTAAATAATTAAATGTGCACACATTTACACAAATAGATAAAAAGTGCAATGAAATAAACACTTAAAAGTGCATTTTGGTATAGAATAGAGCGAAACTAGATGTTGTTAATCAATGGTAATATGCTTTCATTTATTTTTTTGCTTCAAATCAAAGTTTGTAGTGCTGTGATTCTCCTTGTAGCTGGTTGCTTTGATTCATGGCTTTTAATGCTTTAAGAGAGACTTTAAAAAAAAAAATCCGTTGGAAAAATGAATGTTAAAAATACTTCTGGAATCAGCGCTGCTGGAAAAAAGTGGGCGGGACTAATGCGCTCTATTCAAGTGAAATAATTTGAATAAAGTGCATTAGTCCCGCCCACTTTTTCAGAGGCAGCTCATCCAATCAGATTTCCGATGTGGATTTATCAGTTTATAATGTTTATTTAAACACTTGTGAACACAGATAATGCCACTGATCATGAAGTGTTACGTTACATAAAAGCATCATCAAATTATCCCAAATATTTAATAAACACAAGCATTTTAAAGGCGCAGTAAGCAATTTCTCAGAAACATTGTTGAAAGTGGATCGGACCGAGCGCTAAAACACACTTCTTCTGTTTGTGGAAAGATGTTTTCCTGAAAATCAACACGATTGCAATGTGACACTGATTTTATTCAATAGTAGTTCAATAAACAAGAAGTCTAAATATTGACTGTTTTTGCTCAGTTTCACTGACGACAATAGCTCCAATCAAAGCCACAGCAGAACTGTTTTGTGTCTCGGAGCAACACAGCGGTGTTTCGATACTGAATGAATCCACGTTTTTGAACGAATCGAGTGAGTCAATGATTCAGTAACTCGTTCATAAAGAGTCACTTGCTTCGTTTTTGAACGAATCGGTTGAATGAAGGACTAAATGACTCACTCGTTTAAAGAGTCATTTGCCGCCACCTACTGGTTGTTTGGTTTCATATTTAAAGGTGGGTGGGGTAAGCAATTTCTGGTAGCCAGTGTTGACATTTGAAATCACCAAAACAAACACGCCCCTACCCCAAAAGTGTCTCGCCCCTATTTTGATAGCTCCACCCCACACATATGTACGCAACCCAGGCAACGATTAGTTCTGTGAAACAAAGCAAAACTGCTGCTGCGTTCCATTCATGGCGTATTGACACAAATTTCAAATGATTTTCAACGGTCGCTT